CCTGGCCCCCTTGGCTGCCCCTCGGCTGATTCGGCATGATGAAGAATACCCCTAACCCAGTGAGAGGCGACCTGAGTCAGGATGACCAGAAACATCAGGGACAGGGGGGGCGTGTCTGCAGATGTGCCGAACAGGACCGCCCAGACTTATAACCCCTGATGCAAGGACGGGGCCCTCAGTGAGGCCACGTTCTCACTCTGTCATTCGGGTTAGGGGTTCTTTTATCCTCGATGATCGGTCGCTCTGCCCCAAGGCTGCCGCACTGCTTGCCCTTCTCCCCAGGGCCCCTTCCCTGGCTGACGATGTCTTGGCTGCTTTCGCTTGTCCGTCGGTTGCTCTGGTCGCGCCTGGCCCACCAGCTGCCCCGTCGGTGCATCTGCCCCTCGGCCAGCCCCTCGACTGCTAATCGGTCGCTCTGCCCCTCGACTGCCCCTGTCCCAACTGATGTTGATTGCTTTTGGTTGTCCTCGCTTGTCCGTCGGTTGCTCGGGCCGGAAAAACCGAGCTCGTCGTCGTCGTCGTCGTCGTCGTCGTCGTCGCCGCCGCCGTCGTCGTCGTCGTCGTCGTCGTCGTCGTCGTCGTCGTCGTCGTCGTCCGCCGTCGTCCGCCGTCGTCGTCGTCGTCGTCGTCGTCGTCGTCGTCGTCGTCGTCGTCGTCGTCGTCGTCGTCGTCTTCGTCGTCGTCGTCCAAACAGTGGCTTGAACTAGCGGCGTTGAAGTCCCTGGAATGGTGCTGTAGCGCGGCTGAGGATTCTCAGACTGTTGTCTTCCAGCGATCTATTCTCCGCAGTGATACACGTGTTTGCAGGGATCCACGAAGAGGGAGCTCGGAGGGAGGGTGTACGGCAACACCGCTGATGCGTCTTAGGCTTGCACTGGTCTTCCTCCACCTCCTCCCCACCTTCCTTCCCCAATCCCCCCCCCCGGCCTGGGCCCCCCTTCCGCTCCCTCCCTCCCTGCCTCCCTCCCTGCCTCCCCTACCTCGCCTCAGTTTGGGCGTTGCGTTGCTTCGCGGGGGGGCAGTGGGGAGGAGGAGGAGGAGGAGGAGGAGGAGGAGGAGGAGGAGGAGGAGGAGGGAGGAGGAGGAGGAAGGAGGAGGAGGAGGAGGAGGAGGAGGAGTTTTGTTAACATCAGCCGTCCTGCCAAGCCGTACTCTCTGGGGGAACGGCGCCTTCCCCCAGAGGAAAGGGGCAGGGCTGGTGGCGCCTCCTGCCACTTACGCCACCAGCCTGCCCCACCGCTGACGTCACGGCAACTGCGGGGGGACTTACGCCAAACGGCTGCCAGTCCCGCATAGTCCCGCATTGCCGTGGAAACAGCAATCCTGCGGACGGCAACACCCCAGATCGATCCCACTGCCCAGCTCGGCACAACGTCTGTCGTGCCTCCGACGTGCGGACCCGCTGAGCAACGGACACCGCGGGGGAAGCATGGCCTTCAGCACCCCACGACCGTGCACTGGCGGGGAGAAGCCGAAACGAGTGCCGCAGTGAAAAGGACGGCACGAGGAGCCCCAGATCGAACCCACTACGCCCACCACGGCCTCACGACATCAAAAGGCGAGAGGCAGAGAGGGGGAGGTCGAGGGAGTGCGCACTTTCCCCCTGAGGCGGGATGCCGGACGCACGTGCAGAAAAAGATATGCACACGCACGAACAGGAGACGCGCGTGCAGCAGTGGGTGCAGGGGTCGCCTTGAACCCACTCCGAACGAGACAGAGGCCTCGTCTCGTGCCACAAGGCTGGGGGCCTGAGGCCCTCGGCGGGAAAAATCCCGACCCATGCGTCAAGAAACCGGCGGCTGCCGTCCTGTTGGGGAACGGGCCACAAGACCACAGGGTGGACGGGGGAGGAGAGATTGAAGCCAGAGACTAGAATCTGTGAAAGAGAACTGCATGAGGCGCCAGCCTGAGGCGATGGCGCAACATGAGCGCATGAGAGGCAGCACAAAACAGGCCAAGCAGCACCAGGTGGAGGTCCCCGTCAGGCTTTCCCACCCTACCCCCGCGGTCCGACTAAACGGGAGCTCGCGGTGTGTGGGATCGGGGGATGCCTTCACGGGCGGGGGCCTCGGCACCTGTGCTGTTTGCACCTTCAGGCGCGGCGCCAACACTCTCAGGAGACTAGAGGAGGAGGAGGAGGAGGAGGAGGAGGAGGAGGAGGAGGAGGAGGAGGAGGAGGAGGAGGAGGAGGAGGAGGAGGAGGAGGAGGAGGAGGAGGGAGGAGAGGAGGAGGAGGAGGAGGAGGAAGAGGAGGAGGAGAAGGAGGAGGAGGAGAAGCATGGGGGGGGGGAAAGGGGTGTACCTTTCGTGCACCTTCGCGGCCCCAGGGGTCCCCTTTAGGGCTCCTGTCCTGCAGCCCCCGATCCCCCCCCCGTTGATCGCCCGGCCCGAATTACAGCTGCTGCGTCTGGGTTCTACCCCTCCTCCTGCTGAGGCACTGGGACACTGAAGGCGCAAGAGTCGTGCTGACGCCACCCTCCCCCTCCCCAGGGACGGTCACCCCTGTGGGGGTGACAAAACTAAAGCCAAGCGACTCTTGGAACACCACTCCAGGAGTTGCCAGCTAATACGCACAGGTAAGCAGCAAGAGCAAATGAGGAAGAACCGACAACCAAACCTCGGGGAGAGGGGGGGGGAAGAGACGGGGGAGACCTCATATAATGGAGGGGGAGAGGACGGTGGCGAGTAGGCTGAGCATCACCTGCGGCGGTTGTCCTTCTCCTCCTCCTTCGCCTCCTCCTCCTCCTCCGCCTACTCCTCCTCCTCCTCCTCCTCCTCCTCCTCCTCCTCCTCCTCCTCCTCCTCCTCCTCCTCCTCCTCCTCCTCCTCCCCCTCCTTCTCCTCCTCCTCCTCCTCCTCCTCCTCCTCCTCCTCCTCCCGTCCCCCTCCTCTTCTTCCTCCTCCTCCTTCTCCTCCTCCTCCTCCTCCTCCTCCTCCTCCTCTCCTCCTCCTCCTCCTCCTCCTCCTCCTCCTCCTCCTCCTCCTCCCCCCCCCTCCCCCTCCCCCTCCCCCCTCCCCCTCTCCCTCCCCCCACCCTCGTTCCACTGTCCTTGCTTTCCCTGCTTCCCCTGCCCTCGCCTCGGTTCCCGCGGCGGGCCCTCCCCGCGCGTGCCCGCGGCGCCACCCCGCGGGCGCCTTCTCCGCCGCCGCCGCGGCCCGCAGCTCCTCCTCAAAGCGGGCGGCCTGCCGCTGCGCCGCCTCCCGGGCGGCGGAGGCCTTGGGCGCGCACGTCCCGCGATGGGGGGGGAGGGGGTGCGCTTCGGCGCCGGGGGCTTTCGGGGCTTCGGGGAGGGGAGGGGGAGGAGAGAGAAGGAGGAGGAAGAGGAGGAGGAAGAGGAGGAGGCGGCGGAGGAGGAGGAGGCGGCGGCGGCGGAGGAGGATGTCCGCAGCCATTTGGCTCAAAGCGGCAAGTGCTGCACAGCCGCACTCGATTCTCCGTTCTCCCAGTCTCCCCGTGGATCCGTATCTCATCTTCGTGGATCTACATGACAACCTGCTGCGTTTCACGGCCGCGGTGTCTACCGACCAGCCCCAGGGACTGGCGCGGGCAGTGCGGGACTTGTTCAAGCGTGGCCTCGTGTTCTCGGCCATCAAGAAACAAGCTGGTCAACCTCGATGACACCTACAACGAGATGCGCAACATCTCTTCCGTCTCGGCGATGCGCTCCCACGACAAGGTTCAGGCCGATATCCAGACCAACCGCGCACGCACATCGGAGGCGCCCGTGTTCATACCAGGCCAGCCAAGGCGCCCGACTGGGAGGACCCCGCCCGCGCACAGGCGGAGGCCGGTTGGCGCCCCTAGGCAGGGTGCCATGGTGGAGGCCCGCCGCCGCGCCGAGGCCGAGCGCCACGTGGAGGCCGGGAGCCGCGCCCAGGCCGCACGCCAGGCGGAGGCCCCACGCCTCGCCGAAGGCCGAGCGCCAGACAGAGGCTCGGTCGGGGCGGGGCGGAGGCGCGCGCCAGGCGGAAGCCAGGAACCGCGCCGAGGCTGCGCTCCGGGCGGAAGCGGAGGCCCCGCACGCGGAGGCCAGGGCCTGCAGGCGCCAGTCGGGAGCCGGCGCGCCAGCAGAAGGCTGCGCGCCAGGCGGAGGCGGCCGCGCGCCGAGCGGAGGCGGAGGCCGCCCGAGGCCAGGCGGAGGCCCAGCAGCGCCTCGCAGGCGACTCCCCTGGCGAGCCGCGGCCGGGCGCCCTGGCGACCTGCAGCGGTGTTGTGCTAAGACTAGGGGGTTGTACTAGGGAGATGCACTAGGACTTGTACTAGTACCACTTGTTCCATGGAGTTGCACTAGGGAGTTGAACTACGGAGTTGAGAAAGGGAGTTGTACTGGCACAGTGGAATTGCACTGGGGGGTTGTACTCGTACTCCTTGGACTCGGGGGTTGCGCTGGGGAGTTCTACTAGCACTGGGAAGTTGCACTAGTTGTACTTGGGAATTGCACTAGTGATTAGCACTAGTACTAGATAGCTGTACTAGGGATTTGTACTAGGCAGCTGCACTGGCGCGTTGCACTCAGGAGTTGAACTTGTCGTAATAAGGAGTTGTACTGGGGATTGCAGTGGAGAGTTGTGCTGGGAGCTTATATTACTCACATGATACCAGTTGCACTCTAATACTTGCACGGCAGGACAATGCGCTCTTTAGGAGCAACTGCGCGCTAGTACATGATAATATCAAGCGTACTCAAGTATGTGTTGTACGGTAGTCGGAGGGGTTCAGAGGTTCCAATGGCAAGTCGCGCGCGGAAGAAAGAAAGAAATCCATGCGCCGCCAGGGGTCCCGTGTTTGACGGGTCGCCGCGAAGGTTGACCCCCCGCGGAAAGAAGAAAAGACATCCGGCCAGGGGGTTGGGGGGTTCAGGCATGAATCGCGGGGCTGATTCCAAAACACCATTTCTGGTACGTCTATCATGGGAATCCGCGAAACTCTTACACCTGTTTAACAAGAGTGCGCGCGGCGCTAAGGTGAGAGCCGCATTTTGAAAACGACCCGTGCTCAA